GGGGGGGGGGAGAAGAAATATAATATTTAGGAAGATGAATGGAAATATTTACATACAAAATGGAAATGTGGCAGCTTTGAGATTTAGCAGTTTTTCAACCACAAAGTCAGTGTTGGGATTCTGTTGGCTTTATTTAGAACAAGGCATGGCTTTGGGACAGGGGAAAGGAGCACTAAGAGACACAGCTATAATTCTGACCATTCACATCTACTTTAATATTAAAATAGTAAGCATTTTTCTTCCAAATTTTTCATAAAATACTTTTAGTTTTAGTATATTTTAACAAAGTTATAGATACTCTATCATTTCGTATAAAAGCTCTTTATTCCTTTACACTTAACTAATGGCTAGCTTATTTTCAATGTGTGGCATTTCAGTTAATCAGCATCTTACATTCATACTCTGAAAGATTAAATGAAGCACTACAGTGGTCACTAGAGGAAGAACTGGTCATACATAATTCTTTTTAGTTAAAAATTCAGTGTTTAGGAACATTCAAAGAATCCGTTCCTCATAAATTATTTTGTAATCCTCACAGGAAGGCTAACAATTTCCTCACATAATTAGCTTTAGATTATTGAAAGCACATGTACAATATCACCTTTATATATTCCTTTTAGATTTATTCAACCAACCAACTTCTTAATGAGCTTGTTATCTGACATATCTGTGTGGTCAGACATCTTCCCCACCCACCTCACTCCTTCTATTTAAAATTCTCTCAGTTTTACTTAATTTTTTTTTTTTTAATCTTCACCCGAGGACCTGTTTTTATTGATTTCTAGAGAGGAAGGGGGAGAGAGGAACATCGATGTGAGAAAGAAACATTGATCGGCTGCCTCTCTTATGCACACGGACGGGGGATCAAACCCGAAACCTAGGTGTGTGCCCTGACCGGGAATCAAACCTTCAACCTTCTGGTGTATGAGAAACACTCCAAACAACTGAGCCCTCCGGCCAGGGCAAATGCTCCCTGTTTTAGAATTTACAGAGAAAATAAGGCTATCAGGTGTGAATTCCCTCAACATCTTGTCTCTCAACAATTCAAACCCCTTGGCCCTGCTTCCCCTGTCACAGGGAGAGGAGACGCTCCTCCTTTACAAGGCGAATGCACGGTGTAGACACTGCAACCCATCCTTGCCTCTGCCCTTGGGGCTCGGAGAAAATCAATTTTCCCTGCATCCACATCAGAGCCTCCTGCTTTCCACTAGTTCCTTCCCCTTAGCACATAAACATGTTTAATCATTTCCTCACTTGGGTAAATTGTTTGGGAAATGAATGTTAATGCTGAGTCAAGTCAGAATTTGAAAGTTATACTTATAGATCTGAGAGTGAAGAAAAGTCTTGGGTTTTATCACTGTCTATGATTCCATTTTTCCAAGTGTCTCCAGAGTATTTCGCTTCTTAAAATGTTGATGTTAGAAAGAAAATCATGTAACAAAAAGTACATTAATTCAATGTTTAGACTGAGAATGTATATGTTCAATTCAAAAGGGTTTGTTTCCCATTACAAACCTAACTTTGCCACTTGAAAAAATATTGTTCACCAGAATTGAATATTTCATTACCTTGATGGATAACCCTGGAAGGGAATACTTCATATAAAAATAAGAGCAAATTTTGAATCAAGTGTTTTAGCTAGAGATTAACATATCTGATATTTTCTAATATGGTCTCTGTTGCCTGATCACATTATATCAGAGATTTAGAAAGGCTACTCATAACTCTGAAATCCACAAAATTATATTAATTGTATATTTTAGCACGATATTTAAAGAAAGTCAAAGCGTTGCTATAAAGAACATAAACATGTTTTTCTTCACTGCTAGGAAACTACTGCCATTTTTGCTAAAGTCTAAAAACAAAAGCCGTTTTTAAAATATAACATTAATTTTGAACTGTAAATATGTGCCTTGTGTATTATTAATAACTATGTTGCTAAGGATATATTCTCAGCTACCATATATGTGTATATTCTCCTTTGATCTCATTGGCAGAAAAAATGGTGGCAAGTCAAGGATAGTGTCATCCGTTACTAGGAGAGGACTGGGAATAAAGCAGAGTAGACACAGACATACATTTGAGAAAGAATAAACACACAAACACACACATGCCAATAGATATTTTACTGATCAAGACTTTGTTTTTATGTATGCGCTTTGAGTAGCCCTAGATTAATAATCCCTTTATATGTCTATGACATTGTGGTCATGAAATTTAAGTTTATAAATGAAGACTTGGAGCTCAAAAATTGATTTTGAAGTTAGGGTATGTTGCTACCAGTTAATTAAGATGTCTACATTTGATTAGTTTTGTGGTTTCCAGTACAAATATAAATATGTAAAATAATGGGCAAATGCCATAGAACCATTCACTAATTTACCTAATCTTTCTTTTTATTTATATTTTCCCCCTGCTTCAAAAGTCATTATGACCTGGCCAGCATGGCTCATCGGTTGAGCATTGACCTGTGATCCAGGAGGTCAAGGTTTAATTCCTGGTCAGGGCACAAGCCCTGGTTGTGGGCTTGATCCCCAGTAAAGGTGTGCAAGAGGCAACCAGTCAATGACTCTCATCATTGATGTTTCTATCTCTCCCTCTCCCTCTCCCTTCCTCTCTCTGAAATCAATAAAAACATTTTTAAAATTAAATTTTATTTTTGAAAAAGTCATTATGAACAACAACTTGGATGAATAATGTCTTAAGCTCATTATTTACTAGTCAAACTAGTGCTGCTTCTTATTCCAAAAATTAAAGTCAGTTTTTCTAGTGTTCTAAGATTTCTAAAATAATTATATTATTGTTATCCCTATGACTTAATAAGTCTGGATCAAATAGTTTTGCAAACCAAGGAGTTAATCTTTTCAGTCCATATTGATTAAGCAATGAATTGTTCCTTCCTTAGACATTCTCTTGAAGGGCACCTTTAGATTTGCATATACTTTGTATGCAACCAGTTAAAATGAGACTAATGTTGTCTCTTTTATTTTTCAAAATAACTTCTCTGTATATGTCTCAAGATTAAAAACTCTGTAACACACAGAATTTCCACATCTTAAGCTAAATTTTTTTAAGTTTAACTCCAGAAGTGTTAAAACATAATTGGAACCTGAAAACATGCTCATTTCAATATAGGTTCTGGGTGTTGTAAAATGTACAAGCTTTTTCATCTAAAGATTTTGCATAATGGACATAACTTTATTCAAATGATAAAAACAAAAGAGCTATTGAAAAATTCGCTTCCTGCAGATGAACTTTTACACCAAAGTTTTCAAGGTCTTTCAGAAAAGACTATGGAGAGCTATGCAAAGTTAAGTTATAAACAAGTAATAAATTTACAGAGTGTACTTGATTTTTTTCCTGTTTGCACCCACCCCTGTTAGTTTCCATTTCTAAAGATTGTGTAAAATATTAGGTAGAAGATGGTGAGCAAGTAAGTGAAAGAAATATGATAGTCCCCATTCAGTGACGGTCTTGACCAAAAGTGTGTTACTCAGGCCTGAGGGCGATCCTTTACTCCTTGCACTCCAAGTCCAACAGATACTTACTCAAGAACATATCTCTGGCCCAGCCTTCTTCAGCAGCATTGCTCTGCTCCTGTTCAAACCCTCTTCTCTGTCGCCTAGCTACTGTGACATCCACCCAAGGGCCACTCCGCTTTTAGTCTCCTTCAGTCCTTTCTGCACAGCGCTGCCTGAGTGAGCTTTCTAAAAGACTAATGGGTTCATGCCCTTCCTCCGCTGAAAAATTCTTCAGTGTCTTTCCATAGCTTTTGAGAAAAGTCCAAGCTTTTATTTGTTTATTAATCCTTACCCAAGGATATTTTTTCCATTGACTTTTAGAGTGAGTAGAAGAGAGGGAGGGAGGGAGAAAGAGAGAGGGAGAAACAGCAATGTGAGAGAGACACATTGACTGGCTGCCTCCTGCACCTGCCCTTGACCAGGAATTGAACCCGCAACCCTTTGGTGCGCAGGCTGACACTCTAACCACCGAGCCACACCAGCCAGGGGGAGAAAAGTCCAGGCTTTTGTAATAGTTGTAGTTCAACACATAAGCCATGCTTTCACATCTCTATGCCTCTGGTTGTTGGTTTCTAAAATGGGCTTTTTATGTCTCTGGTCCTCTCTCTTCTACCCATTCTGTAATTCAGAGCTCAGTGTCCCCACCCTTGGGGTT